AATAAAATAAATAAAGTTCCACATTTGACAAGCTAAAATACAATGAAAGCCCTTTTAATCAAAAGCTGCCTTGACTCAGGTTGTGACCTTAGCTGGCTGGGTAAAGTACTAACACATGAATATTTTGAAAGCCATTAGAATCCCTGTCCAGGATCTATAGAAAAGGCCCAGGAAAAAGAAAGAAAGAAAGGAAGGAAGGAAGGAAGGAAGAAAGAAAGAAAGAAAGAAAAAATCAGATGCCTCTCTGCGGGCTTTCAAATACACGCCAGGCCCTGCGGTATATTAGGGCGTCTGAATTGGCCAATCCCGCATCCGTTTCCGCCCCCTCCCCCTGTTTTATAACTCCACAAAATCAGATAACACAAGCCTTATCTACGTTGGAAAGGCAATTTACATGCAGATCCGCATTTTGCAAACAGTCATAAATTTCGCACTTTAAGGGCAAGCCGTGCCTTGAAGAGTTTCCCCGAAAAAAGGGGACAATATTAATAGCACTAATTCAAATGATAATCATAAATGCGGAAGATAAATGTCCTTGAAGTTAATTTTTGGAGGAAGGAGAGATGGAGTTTGAAGGAAAAGCCCTAAGAAATTATTCCTCTTTTAAATTACACAGACATACAGAGAGACACTAACTTCACATACACACACTTCATTTCTAGAATTGTGTCTGACAATCAATCACCTTTGGAGCTCAAGTGATTTGGGTGGGGAATTAAGATTTGGACAGGGGAAAAAATGCAATTGTGGAAAGCAATAATATATAAAAGGAAGTTCAGGTCATGACCTAAATTTTGGACAAAGTCCAGAAAGGCACTTGGTTTCCCCCAGATCTCCCTTAACACAGCAAGATCTGAATTGTAAGACTTTATTTTCTCATATAAACTGCACTTTGCTAGGCCAGTCTCCTTGATAGCGAGGCCATTTCTATATATGAGTATTTCACGAACCTTGCCTCCATTTATATGGAGTGGCCATTTTCCCAAAATTACTTATTATTTAGGAAAGAAGTAGAAATCTTAAGATATGACTGCATCTTCAACTACTTTCTCTTGACTGTCAGGCAAACATTAGAGACCTGACCTCATGAATTGTTCTTGTTCTTGTTATTATTCCTTGTAATATAAGGCTTGATTTGAAATATTTCTAGAGTTAACATCAGATATCTTACTCATCCAGGCTGAACCATGGTTAATTAGATCTCATCATACATTCCATTATTGTTTTATAACTGTAGCACTATTTTTATACAGGAGAAAGTTGGCACAGAAATATATTCTCTCCCGAGTTAGATTTTTTCCCCCTGTGTTTGATTGTTCAAATGGCCTATTTTCTGCTTTCATGACTTGTTAAAATGAGGGGAGGGAAGAAGACCCTTGGATTCTGCAATTCCTGAATTACAGCGGCCTGATCCTTTACTGCAGTTATTGATGAAAAATATTATTAAGAATATTCATTCATAGGAAGCTGTGGTTTGGGAAACAGCAATTTGAATGTGTGTGTATGTGTGTGTGTGTGTGTGCACGGGCGTGCTACATTTTAACTTATAATCTTTTCTAAACTCAGGGCAAAACCTGCCTCATTGTTTAGACGCTGTGAGAAGGCCAACAGCTTTTACAGTGAAGATTTGTCTGCTCAGACCATTTTTAGGTTCAGATCAACCTTGCTTATTGCAGTTGATGAGGATGATCATTGTTACTGTTATTATTATTATTATTATTAAGCTCAGCAGATTTTTATCTGTTTGTGAGTAGGCGACCTCCTTGCTTGGTGATCTTATTTTATTTTATCTTATTGAGGCAATTTGTTTCTGTTACTTTTTATTTTGCTGGGCATTGTCACTTCGCAGCTTGCTGTCTTTTAATTGTCTCAGATATGACTTGGGTTTTCTGCACTGCACAGGTTTCTGCTCGCTGACCCAAAAGTCTGTCTCTCTGAGCTCCGTGGGACAACTCCTGAGAGTAATGTACACACACACACACACCTTCCCATGCACTGCGGTTTGGTAAGGCTCCATTAAAAACAAAACAGGACAAAGTTACTCTCTCCGTATTTTCTTGACACCATATACCGTTTATCCAGCCTCCTGCTCTTAGCAATATATATCCTCTCTGCCTCTTTATTTCCCCCCGAGTGAAGGAGAAGATAAGTTTCCAAACTTTAACCTTAGGCCTACACAGCTGACACGAGATACAGCAGGACGTGCCTCCGAGTCAACGTGAGAGCAGAAAGACCACAGCTCTAATCCGCCTGTTGTTTTCTCCCTCCCCCGAAAACCCAACCGCCCCACAACAAACCGCCCCAGAGAGTTCCTACCTTGCCTTTTCCATTGCTTCCGGGAAAATCAAGGCAGAGGAGAAAGAGGGGGCCTGGTTTCTGGGGCCAGAATCCCGCTCCCCACAAACCGCCGCAAGCAGGGCCCCCAAGCCGGAGGCACCCCCTCCCCGGCGGAGGCTGCTGCCCCTACCTGAGGTGAAGAGGACAATCGCCTTCAAGCAGCTGTATTCCGCTGAATCCACGTGCAGGGCTTTGAGCTTCTCGACCTGCTCCTGGAAAATGCGTATGTGGTCCATAAAGGCGACCACGCGGTCGGCGGACATGGGCGACGCGTGGAGGCCCGCCGCTGCCAAGAGTGGGGCGACGTGGAGAGGCATGGAGCACTGGGCGGCGTTGAGGACAAACAACTCACTCCAGGTGAGCCGCAGCAGGGCCACCTGGTCGGTGATCTGGAGGTCGGGGAAAAAAGGGATATTCCGGGCCCACTCCACAGCGCTGAAGAGCATCCGAGCGGCCAATTCGCAAATGTTCTCGATGCCCATAATGTTATTCGGTTGCATGCACTGGCTGCCGAAGCGAGAAGTCGGGTAAGGCTCTGCCCGCAGCAACAGAGAAATATATCCGGAGAGGTACGAATGACAGTTCAGGGGGTCCCCGTTGGTTAAGGCGAACTGGCCGTGGGTCGGCTGTGTGGGTGGCATTCTGCCCCTCTGGACGGCTGCAGTAAATAAGGAAGAAACTACAGCAATTAATACCTGCATTGCTAAGAAGGGTGATCGTGCTATCAGATCTACAGCCTGCTTGCTTGTTTTCTGGAGAGGGGGCAGGAGGGAGAAGGGGAGATGGGGGAGGGGATCAAAGGGACCTGGGAAGGTCAAGACGCAACCCCCCTTCTCCATCGAGTGAAAGTATAGACAGTCACATATTTATGTGATATTTCGGGGGGGGGGATATGGACGTGGAAGGGGGAGCTAGAATTCTTAGGGTTCAGGAGAGGGGGTGGAATGCTAGGAGGATCCCCCCCACTCACCCCCGGTCAAGATGAGATCAAGACACAAGCAGAAGCTGTTTGGGAAACGCCTTGGATGAAATTGTCCCACGTTTCCAACCAGCCTTTCTTCTGAAATCTTCCTGGCCTTGTCCTTCATACCAGCCCTTTTATTTATTTTTTTAAATAATAAAATAAAATAAACACAAAACCCCCCAAAAGGGAGAAAATCCGTCAGGCCAAGAAAGAGAGAGACAGAGAGCCATCTCCACCGCTGTTTCCAATATCCCTCTTTTTCAAAACAGGCCGGAGGAAAAAGAAATAAATAAAATAAAAATAAAATAAAATAAAATAAAATAAAACAAACACTGCCCTGGGGCCGGGGTAAAATGCAGATACCCCAGGTTCTATTGTTATATTTCTCCGCTGCTCCGAGCCAGGGGCGAGAGGAATCGGTGGCTGTTGGAACGCTCGAGAATCGTCTGCTTTGCAGAAAGTGGGCCTTTGATTTTGTTCATAAATTTACATGGTGGTGACAGAGAGAGAAAATGAAAGAAACCGAGATTCACCGCAAAGAAAGCCGAAGCGAGGAAGGGAAAGCAGGGGGCTGGCTGCAGCCTGATCCATAGTGTTACCGAAAGCCAGCAAGGTCCCCATAAGAGGGAAAGCTTGTTTCACCCCCAAAACAACCCAACAGCGGCGGTTGAGAGAGTGGCGGGGCGCCCCCCCCAATTAGGAGAAGCCACAGCTCGCCTTTCGCTCTCCGAGCTTTTCCGCCGCGGCGCTCCATCTTGCTAAAAAAAATAATAAAAAAAAAAACCCCCGCCTGCTTCTCGACCCCTGGCTTTCAACGCTCCGAAATCTGTTTTCCTTCCAGAGCTTCGCGTCCCCCAGGTTCCCCGCGTCTGTCTTCTCAACGCCCCCCACACCCCCCGCCTGCGAACCACAGAAATTAGCAATCTGTAATCAATGAAATCGGGAGCATTTTTATTGCCATCTTCCCAAGGCCAAAAGGACCGCATGGAAGAGCGAGACTCTCCGGAACTCCGGTAGCGAAGAAAGCGGAGCAGAGTCTGCCGGAATTCCGAACGGAAGACACGATCGGAAAGCTCTGGCAAGGGGATCGATCGATCGAGGATTTATTTATGGGTTATGATTATTAGAGAGCGGGAACGAAAAGGAAGAGGGCTGGTGGGGGCGGGCGAGAGAACAAGAGAAAGAAGTTTACGTAGCTGAGATCGCCCGTAGCCTGACTTTCTGCTCTGTTGGTGAGGCTAACCCCCCTCTCAGCATTTTTCCTTCTTCCCTTCGCTGGATCCATTTGGAATCTCTCCCAGCTAAGAGAGACCCCGACCCATTTCGAGGAGGGTGGGAGGCGGGAGGAGAGAGCGAAAAGAGAGAGCTTTTTCTTAGGGTCGGGGTGCTAAGGAAAGACATTTCACTCCTCCCACCCCCAGCCCAGAAACTCAAGACATTTTTCTTCCTCTCCAACTCTTCTCGCCTCATTTCCTCTAACTCAGGAGAACAATCCAACCCCAGACCAGGGCTTAAAAAAGAGAAGAAAAGTATATGGGAAGCACCTCGATTTCGCCCGCCAAAACAGAACTTACTTTAAAAAATTTTTTTAAAAAATCAAGTATCTAAGTCCTCCCCAGGCTGGATTTCAGTTTACGGGTCCTGCATATCCGGAGGGTGCCCCCTGCCTCGACTCCCCTCCCCGCCGACGGGTGAGAAATGGAAAACAAATGAAATTCCAATACCTTCCCGCCTCATGCCAACCTTCAGGCATTTCTTGAGGCGACAATATTGGCATTGGTTGCGGTGATGCTGGTCAATGGGGCAGTTCCGGTTGGCGCGGCACGTGTAGCTAAGGTTCCTCCGGACGCTGCGCTTGAAGAAACTCTTGCAGCCTTCACACGTAAATTGCCCGTAGTGTTTGCCGCTGGACTTGTCCCCGCACACCACGCACTCTATGTGCTGCTGCTGCTGCTGCTTCTCCCCTTGGTTTTGCTGGCTGCCCGGGTTGGTCTGAGCCGGGGTGCTGGGGGGCCCTCCTTGGCCCGGTGTCTGTGGGGTGTGGGGGGCGCCCTTCGGGGCTCCCGGCAGGGGGGGGGCTTGCGAAGGCTGCGTTCCTTGCGGGCCGGCCACATCGTCCTGCGGGTCTCGCCAAGCGCCCACTACCATTGCCATATCTAAGGGACACCGTGGCCAAATCGCGCGCCCCCCCGTCGCTTGCTGTGGCCGGCGGATCCGCTTCCCCGGCGGGTTGTGCCTGCCGTTGGAGCCGGAGCGAGCTGCGGAGGTCTAAAGAGAATGGGGGTCCACTTTATTTTAGTTTATTCGCTTCCACCCCCCCAGCCTTTTTCTCTCGCAGTTCACGTAGGCAAGTTATTCTGATTATCTTGGCTGGAAGTTGCTGGAGTGCAAGGGGGCGCGTTGCTGCTGCTGCTCTTCTCTTTTTTCCCCTTCGTTGGCTTGCTCGTTCTGTTTACCCCCCGTCCTGGTCCTTTCGTTCAGTTTAATTTAATGCTTTTGGTGGAGGGGTGGCGGTAGAGAAGGTTGGGTTGCTCCCCGCTCCTTGCAAAATAGTAAATAAATGCGGGAGGCACGCACGCACACACACACACAGCAGGCACGCACGCGAAAGTGGACTGAAAAGGAAAGGGGGAACGCGAAGGAGTGGACGAGAGAAAAAAAAGAAAGGAGGCGAGGAGGAGGAGGAGGAGGAAGAAGGCGCGAGGCGATTGTCTGTTAGCAAAAGAGGAAGAAAAGTAAAAAAAAAATTACAAAAGGGGGACGGCTGGGGAGGGAGAGAGAGAGAGAGAGAGAGAGAGAGAGAGAGAGCGCTTCT